TTACACTTATGACATTTGAAGCACCCTTTCTTATCTGAAATTTTACAGACATTTTTCGGATATTTCCTGACTGGATCAGCTCTTACTACAGGTCTTTGAGTAGTCCGCTTCATTTGTAGGTATGTAGTGGGGTCTCCGCACCTCTGCACACGTATGCTCATCATTAGCGAGGATGTTGTGCTGCCTCATGATTTTTTAAATCCTTTTAGATATGAAGTTATAAGTGTGTATAATAGGAACCCTATTTATCACATTGTGTGTAGATTTTCATTTTGAATCCTCATTCTAGCATATATTAAAGCTTTTCCTGAACTTCATCAGGGTATTATAGGAATTTCTGGTGCATTGTCAAAAGCTGTGTAGGTAGGAAGTACAAACTTGAATACTGGTAAATTTTCAGCTAGCTGTCTAGATGTTGAGCACTCGTAAAATGTAATGTAGTATTCCTATTTGTGGATTTATAATACAGGCTTGTAATGATACCACCTTGATTATTTAAAGTGGTTGTAAACCGCTACATATACCCGGTGAAGTGGCTGGCCTCAGGTGATACACAGAGACAAAACTAATTCTCCTACATAAGTTGTACCTTTTTAACTGCAGTCTTCTCTATATTCGTTCACAGTAATGAATTTATAAAGCTTGTCTGAGAGTTCAGAAAAAAATGGGACAGTGAGCTGAAATTACACAGTGCAGAGCTAAGCGAAAAGAGCTCTGAGAGCTGATTGGATGGAAGAGACACCCCCCTACCCCCCTCCGCACAGCTCATAGGAGCAAAGCTGAGGCTGTCAATCTGCTGGAGTTTCCTCCCGTCACCATTTTTCACTTGGCGTCAAGAAAACTTGTCAGAAGTGATTAATGCTAATAGCAGAAGAATGAAGCAGCAGACAGAAATGACACTAAGGCTCCGTTCACACCTATGTTTTTTTTTGTGCTTTTTGCAGAATTGCACTACAGTCTATTTAACATGGTTTCCTATGGAACATGTTCACATATATGGTTTTTTAAGCTGTTGCGTTTTTGGAAAGGGTCAGGGACTTTTTTAAAAGCAAAAAGCAGCATTTTTGCTGCAATAGTGTTTAACCACTAGCCTACCGGGCACTTATACCCCCTTCCTTACCAGGCCAATTTTCAGCTTTCAGCGCTGCCGCACTTTGATTGACAATTGCAACATTGTACCCATATGAAATTTTGATCATTTTTTTCTCACAAATAGAGCTTTCTTTTGGTGGTATTTAATTGCCACTGGGCGCTTTACTTTTTGCGCTATAAAAAAAAAAGTGCAAAAAATTTGAAAAAAAAAAAAAAAGTTTATTTGTTTCTTTTATAAAATTTTTCAAACAGGTATTTTTTCTCCTTCACTGATGTGCGTTGATGAGGCAGCACTGATGGGCACTGATAGGCGGCACTGATGGGCACTGATAGGCAGCACTAAAGGGCACTGATAGGCAGTACTAATGAGGTGGCACGGATAGGCGGCACTGATAGACAGCACTAATTAGGGGTCACGGATAGGCGGCACTGATATGCAGCACTGATAGGCGGCACTGATAGGTGACACTGATTATGGGTACTGATAGACGGCACTGACTGGCATCACTGCTGGGCACTGACTGGCGGCACTGACTGGCACAACCCCTGGGCACTGACTGGTGGCACTGACTGGCAGCACTGCTGGGCTGCACTGGTGGGTGGGCACAGGTGGGTGGCACTGGTGGGCACAGGTGGGTGGCACTGGTGGGCACAGGTGGGTGGGCACAGGTGGGTGGCACTGCTGGGCACATGTAGGTGGCACTTCTGGGCACAGGTAGGTGGTACTGCAGAGTGGCACAGGTGGGGCACTGCTGGGCACAGGTGGGGGCACTGCTGGGCACAGGTGGGTGCACTGCTTGGCACGGGTGGGCGGAGCTAGTGGGCGCACTGCTGGACGGAACCTGCGGGTCTCACTGCTGGGCACCGATCATCAGGGCACTGATCATCAGTGTTAAGATAGTTATTTAAGAGGTTATTGAATAAATTAGCGTGTCACCCAATGTATGGTCTCCATTCAGTAGCCAAAAGAGGCATACAAAAAAGGGGGGGTTTGTGAAAAGAGATTCACAGAAAAGCGGCTACATAGTGAACAGAACGTGACACACAGGAAGAAATTTCCAAAAATTATGCTTTATTACACATATAAAAATATGACATATGGGCTTTCGCCCTGGTTTACCATCACCTCAGTTGAAACAATACACACAGACCTAAAACCATTTAAAATGACACCAGAACCGGTCTAAATGTATGTGCAGCAGGGAAAATGGCTACAAGAGTCTAGTGTCCCTGTAGCACAAACACACAAGTGAACACTTCCCTAGGGAGGTGTATCCAAAAATTATGCCATGGGCATACCATAATGGAGGATATAAGGGATTAAGCAGTAACCATATAGGCAAATCCCAATCAAGGAATCCAAAAATTATACTATAGATATGTATGTCACATGTATACAATAAAGCAAGCACAATATGCGTCAAAAAGGAGAATAGCAGGCCTCAGGCCTGTATGAAGGAAGACATAAATGTCAAATATATTATACAATACATTCCTGTGCCGGCACAAGTGGTTGGGGCCCATTCATCTGTAATATAGATAGCTGTTTCCTAGAGCTCTTGGATGGGAATATGCCCCATTTATTTCCAGGATGGAGGAAAAGATGCACAAAGCAGCACTCTGCTTTAAGTGGTTTCTTCACCACTAAATGTGGACTATACACCACTTTTGTAGGAAAAAACAAGACACATCCCAAAGACTCTTCTGCCTGTTGAAATATATATGGTGGTATATCTTGTATCCTATACAACGCACCATGATGTCCCCATCCTGTAGTGAAACAAACAATGTGTGGGAAGTCACTGACAGAGCTAACACTCTATAGAAGATATATAGGTCATATAGATCACAGAGGACCATATATCTAGTGTCCTGTAACAATCCACTCACCACCTGTGCTATGGATAACAGGAATGAAAGAGAAGTCCTTCATAGGTACTGCCATACAGGGCCAAGGCGGCCAAGGAACCACCGCTGACATCCGCCGATATACCGCGGGTTCCAGCCCCTTCTCGGCGCTTGTGCTGCTTAAGCTTGCCTCATGGCATGTGAAGATGGCTTCCTCCTTATGGGTCAGCGTGCGTTCCACCTAGTGCGCATGACCGGAAGTGACGTATCTGACGTATGACGTCAACGCGTTTCGCCGATGGGCGTATCTCACTCAGCTTCGTCAGGACCAATGAAACAACCGCATTTCAATTTTCTATTTATAGTGGGTAAAGACCCACCCATTTATGCAAAAAAACCCAACCTGCAGTTATTCCTAATGGAAGAAAGAGAGGGCTAAATACTTAGCACAGCTGCTGGTCATTGTTGAATATAGTTAAAAAGACAGACATCTGGAGGAGACAACAGAGGGGGGAGAGGCTTTAGCAATTTGGACGGTGCATATATTGATCAAAAAAAACCCCGAATTCATCAGTGCCCTGATGATCGGTGCCGATCCCCGCTCTGACAACTGCCGGTTCTCGGCAGTACTTTCCTCACGATCTGACAGCGTGAGGAAAGTGCAGCCGAGAACCGGCACTTGCATTTCCCTGTGATCAGCGTGTCATTGGACACCGCTGATCACGTGGTAAAAGGCCGGTATGATCGGCCTTTTACTACATCTCGTGATCAGCTGTGTCCGTAGGACACAGCGATCACGGAGATCGCCGGGTGCGCGCCCCCTGGGGCGCGCAGGAGAGCGCGTTCTGGGGGGACGTCATATGACGTCCACCCAGAACTGGCCGGCCGCAGTGCAGCCGTCATTCGGCTATCTGCGGTCGGCAGGTAGTTAGTAGAGAATCTGCTGAAATGCATAGTCGTGCGTTTTTTGCAGCGATTTTGCCAAAATTTTGCAGCGTTTTACAGTTTGCATTTTATTCTGCCTAGCAAAAAAAATTCCACTTTAAAAAAAGAAAAGCTGAACAAAACAAATCGTGGCAAAAATGCGTGTAGAAAAATGCAAAACAATCTACGAAAAGCACTGCAAAACGGACAAAAAGCAAACTGCATAGATGTGGACCAAGCCTTAGTGCACTATAGAGGGATGTGCTTTGTTCATAATCCATGTCTGAGTTAAAAACCACTTTAAAGACATCCCAAAAGTGATTTGTATTACTGATAAAAATTGGTGTGGCTTTGATAACACAATAAGAGATGGTTTATCCTCTCTCTTATGATATTGATTTTGAAGAAGGAATGGACAAGATGTGCTTGGTCCCTTTCTTTAGGAAAATTTGATCACAAGATCCCCAGTTCTTGTCTATAAAAATCCTAATTATAAAATTAGGTTAACTCGTTGGGTCCCATTGGCTTTGATATGTGGACATGTGTACCCCCGTTCATTGAGGAAGCAAGTATTACACCAGAAGAGGGAACCTCATAAGTAGTTTGATATAGCAGGCATAGAAGTGTTTATAGCTGACAAATAATGTGTTAGTGGTAGTTTCAATGTTTTATGTCACTCAATACTACCACAATAGTTTAGCACGAATCCCCTAGTTCTTTAATGGGATAAAAATATATCATTATTAATATATACCGCATCTATGTGCCACTGATATTGTACTTGAAATCATTTTAAATGTTTAACGTGTTTTTCTTTTAGTTCTAGTACATTGTCACCTATAAACCTTGAATCGGCAGATTTTTCAAGCAGTAAAACCAGAAATGGTAGGCTAAATAAAATGTACTACATGTGAAGACATATACATAATTGATACAATTCAGATATTGATATACCCTTTTGTACTTACAGGCTGATGATTCCATCAAAAAACAGATGAAAATGTGGCTAGAAGAGGTAATTCAGTATATCCTGTAAAATTACCATATTTTTTGCTCCATAAGACGCACCTGACCATAAGATGCACCTAAGTTTTAGAGGTGGAAGACAAGAAAAAAAAATATTCCGAACCAATGGACTGCAGACATAGTACAGGAGATGACCGGAGACTGCCGACACAGTACAGGAGATGACCGGAGACTGCCGACACAGTACAGGAGATGACCGGAGACTGCCGACACAGTACAGGAGATGACCGGAGACTGCCGACACAGTACAGGAGATGACCGGAGACTGCCGACACAGTACAGGAGATGACCGGAGACTGCCGACACAGTACAGGAGATGACCGGAGACTGCCGACACAGTGCAGGAGATGACCGGAGACTGCCGACACAGTACAGGAGATGACCGGAGACTGCCGACACAGTACAGGAGATGACCGGAGACTGCCGACACAGTGCAGGAGATGACCAGAGACTGCCGACACAGTACAGGAGATGACCAGAGACTGCCGACACAGTGCAGGAGATGACCAGAGACTGCGAACAGTGCAGGGGATGACCAGAGACTGCGAACAGTGCAGGGGATGACCAGAGACTGCGGACAGTGCAGGGGATGACCAGAGACTGCGGACAGTGCAGGGGATGACCAGAGACTGCGGACAGTGCAGGGGATGACCAGAGACTGCGGACAGTGCAGGGGATGACCAGAGACTGCAGACAGTAAAGGAGATGACCAGAGACTGCAGACAGTACAGGGGATGACTAAGAGACTGCTGACCTTTGGGGAGGGAGGGGGAGTGGGTACCTGAAGTTGACAGGTACCCTCTCCCACTTCCGCGGAGTTGTCCTCCTTTTAGTGTGGGCATCCGGCTAACAGCCGGGTGCCCAGTGCGCATGCGTGAGAAGAACTGCGTTTTGTGATCGGTCCGGCGTCTTCTGGGACCTGTCATGTGTCCCAGAAGACGCCGTACCATTCACATAGCGCAGCGCTTCTCGCGCATGCGTACTGGGCACCCGGCTGTCACCCACACCAAAAAGGTGCAGGACCCTTTTTTTGGTCCTCACTAGAATCAGATCGCATGGGTATTCACACCTATGCGATCCGATTCTGCACATCACACTGCGTTTGGTAGATCGATTTCAGGGTGTTAACTTAACATACACACCGCAGCGGTTCGCATGAACAGAGCGTGATTCTGATGCTGTGCGGAAATCGCACTGAAAGCGCTGCAAATTCCGGGCCACATCAGTGTGAACCCAGGCTCACTTTGCAAAAGAATAACCAATCACTTATAAGGAAAATAAAAAAACAGCATTTTTGCTTGCACATGATTGGATGATGGAAGTCAGCAAAGCTTCCCCTCATTTACTAAACTTTGAAGTGAATTCCCTTGCAGACTGCACTTGCATATGCAAAGTGCACAGCCTATTTGCCTTTAGTAAATCAACCCCAAAAATTCATCAAATGAATGTCACAGTACTATAATCTATAGAAACATTTACCATAACAGGTTATTTTGAGTAAAACATAGAAAAACAAAATGCAATAAATACTACTCATGAGTTCCCCTCCAAATAGCATCACAAGGAATACTGATGTCGGATTAAAATGAAACAATATAGGTGTCCGTTTATGACACACAGAATAGCTGCGATTCAGAGGATCACAGCTATTCTCTGGTCATTCACAGTTTATGGGAAGATGAAAGAAAGAGCGCACAAACCGTGCGCATTACCTCAATAAATAGTGACTAATTTTATTAGTAAGGAAATGTACTCACAAAATGATTGTATAACAGGCATAAGTAACCATAATCCAAACAGGGTTACAGGTAAATCAAAAAAGGGGGGGGGGGATGAAGGCTAACATGTTTCGAAGGGTGCTCCCTTCTTCATCAGAGCTGGGTTTGGCAGATAGAAACTTCAGTATGGCAAGGAGATATTCAGCCACTGAGTGTCAGTATTACAGCAGTTCAGCCTGTTTACTGTCTGCTGTAATACTGACACTCAGTGGCTGAATATCTCCTTGCCATGGGAACTCTGCCATACTGAAGTTTCTATCTGCCAAACCCAGCTCTGATGAAGAAGGGAGCACCCTTCGAAACGCGTTAGCCGTCATCCCCCCCTTTTTGATTTACCTGTAACCCTGTTTGGATTATGGTTACTTATGCCTGTTATACAATCATTTTGTGAGTGTATTTCCTTACTAATAAAATTAGTCACTATTTATTGAGGTAATGCGCAAGGTTTGTGCGCTCTCTCTTTCATCTTCCTCTACAGTTTTTATTAAGCTTCCCCAGCTTCATGATAGAGCTGCACAACCTCTGATCACCAGTGGATGAACACACACCACGCTGCTTGTCACTAACGCCTGTTTGATCTGAGTCCTTGAGCGCAGGAGATAATGGATCATTCACAGTTTATGACACCCAGGAGAACATGTTCAGCCCTTCTCTGGAGATCTGTGTTCTCCCTCCAGATTCTCCAGCCCAGAGCTGGAGAATCGGAGGGACCGCAAACTAAGGAGAGATAATTTACCTCTGCTTAGTAAACTGATCTTTTACTGTAATCTCGCGAGATTATAGTAAAATCAGTCGTTTTCCAGCGTTTGTAGACCGTTCTCCCTTCGCTTGGAGAACTGATCTACATATGCTTCATAAATGGCATTCACAGGAGGAGAACTGTGTTCTCCTGAGAATGTCAGAGAACTAAGCAGCGATCTGTTACTGCTGGTTCATAAACGAACACCATAATGAGATAATGTGATCCTATTGGAATAATCAGACACAGAATCTCCAGGAAAAAATAGCCTAATAAATGCTAGAGCCTCAGTAAAGATAGAGAGGTCATTGAGAGGAAACTTGGACTTCAATAATAAATCAATCAGGCTCTCATGTGGTCGAATTTCTTTAGCTGGCATGCTTGTACTTTTTGGATCTTACAGAGCAGGCCCAGTCGGGATGAACCACTTGCATGTTATGCGTATCATATCAGCATGTATGTAAAAAATATACACCCATAGGGGCACACGCCAAAGTATTATTAGAAAAACACATAATAATATTTAATAGTGGTCCTCACAGTCAGGTGTCATTCCTTATGCTGCAAATTCATGTTGGGCCCAATGAACCCAAACTTATCAGCAGATAAGCCTCCACATGGAGAAAAGGATGTATAATAAAGCTGTATAATGACAGACAGCAATCAATGTGTTGCAGGAGTATTGGAGGAACAAAAGTGGCCTGCTATATTAATAATTAAACAATATGCAGATCATAAATTTAGGAGAGGCCTCATGATACAAGAGGTGGATGTAATGTATTACATCCAAATATATGAAGGTTTAAGCCAACAAATGTTGAGGTAACAGCATACTGGATGCCAAGTTAAAACTATGTGATCAAAGCCGTTTGACAATACTTCACCCCGTCCAAAATATAGGCCATATCCATGTTGTTCACCTGTATACAGGCAGGAAATCCAACTGGGAAAATCATAGCTAAAACAAAAATTCAAAAAAGGAGAGGATGTGGCTAAAATGTAGAAGTGCCAGTCCTCTGATTGGAGGAGGTGGAGATCATGATGTCACTGCCCGCCTCTCCACCTTGTCCAATCAGTGAAAGCTTTGCATTCAATTAGAGAAATATAAGATGTTCTCTGAATGGCATTGTACCAAACGAATGACCCCATGGAGGTGTAAACCTTAAAGTGGTTCTAAAGGCTCAAGGTTTTTTAACTTCCTGCATTCTATGCATGAAGGTAAAAATCCTTCTGTGTACATCCCCCTCAGCCCCCCTAATACTCACCTAAGCTCCCTCTTTATCCAGCGATGTGCACTGAAGTCTCAGCTATCCTGGGAGTCCCTATTCTCATTGGCTGAGACAGAAGCAGGAGCCATTGACTCCACTGCTGGCATCACAGCCAGTAAGCCAATTAGAAGAGAGAGGGGGTGAGGCTAAGCCAAGGCTCTGTCTGTGAATGGACTCACGGAGCAGCAGAAGCCCCCGTAGCAAGCTGTGTGCTGTGGGGGTACCCAACAGGAGGGAGGGGCCAGCAGAGCTTGCAGGGGACCTGAGAAGAGTAGGATCTGGGCTGCTCTGTACATAACTACTGCACACAGCAGGCAAGTATGGCATGTTTGTTATTTTTTTTTATTAAAAAAAAAAAGACTTTAGAATCACTTTAATCAAGTGACATTCAGTAAACTAAAGTGTTGTGTATCATAAACAATTTTCATGGTGTTTTTTTTTTTTTTGGATTATCATCATCTCTTTACAGCCACTACTTCACTACATAAATGCACTCCAGTAATAGGTGCATGATATTACTTAAAGTAAGTTCACCCATGGTGGCAGAAGTGGACTGTGTCATGTGCATTGGCATGGCTGCATGAAGTCACCACTGAAGAATGTTACAAAGCAGGAAAGCTGTCAGGAAACCAGCAGATGGTTACTTTGGACCAGGCAATTTCCCATGAGAGCTATACCACTGTGTAAGTGAGGATGAACGTTATCTACTTAGCTTTGGGAAACCAGTCTGTGTTGTTCTTAAAGCGGTATGAAAAGAAATCCACAGCAAGCATAGTACCAATTTCACAGTTGTGCCAAGGAAACAGAATGACGTAAAGATGGCACACTGATGTACAGATAGACAGCACAGTCATTGTGCCATGAACAGTGTTTACAATGCACATGTGCAAGTGGCATCATGGACAGCAGGAGATCTCCTAAATGGCACGTCTTGAAAAAGTTTTAAAGAGGCCAAGTAGTAAGTTAGACTATAATGTTTGAAATTGAGCTGAGCTGTCCTCCAGAGTTTTTTACTACTTTAAACAGATAGAAAGTAAAGTTGGAAAAGAAAAAAGCAAAAAGCAAAGCATGCAGATAAATTTAAATATACCCATCATGAAAAAAATTTGATTGGTGGCCTTTTTAAAAAATGCTAGATGCCCTTATTGTGCCGGGTTTCAGTACTTCTGAATCAATGGCCTGATGCAGGAAAGAAAGCAATGAAATCTGGATAAGTCAAAATTAATTTTCTCAATACTTATTTCAGGTCAGTGACTCAGACAGTATTAAAACCATAGCAGCGGCATACTTCTCCCATGCCATATATCGTTTAAAGTTGAATTTGAGGTAATGTTAATGCGGTTTTTTATTCATTAAAAAAAATATTAAACATATATTTTAACCACCGCCTGCCATATAGTAAAATGACGGGCGCAAGGTGGTTCTCTCGTTCTGGGAGGACGTCATATGACATCCTCCCATTCTCACCGACATGCGTGGCCCAGGGAGCGTGCAGCGCTGCGATCAGAGGTGCTCTGTGTCCCTCGGACACAGTGGATCACCGATCCATGGAAAGAGCTGAAGATGTCGGCTCGGTCATGTGATCAGCTGTGTCCAATCACAGCTGATCACATGTAAACAGGGAAATGCCAGTTATCGGCATTTCTCTCCCCACGAGCTGTCATGCTGACAGCTCGAGAGAAGAGGAGAGCCGGTAATCGGCATTCTGCAGAGGGGACATGTACACTGATCATCAGGGCACTGATGATCAGTGTGCACTGATGATCAGTGTAGCCCCAGCAGTGCCACCTGTCAGTGTCCATCAGTGCCAGCTGTCAGTGCTCATCAGTGCCACAAGCCAGTGCCCATCAGTGCCACATCAATGCCACATATCAGTGCCTACCAGTGCACATCAATGCCACATTTCAGCGTC